GTGCGAGAGAGCGACGAAAACGACATTCGGAGTCAGCCTTCTGCAGGTCCGCACTACACGTTTGTCGGCAGCGTGCTGCAGGCCGATTCTGAACCCTGCTTTCGTCGCTCTGTCTCTCTCGCACCCATATGGCACACCGCTTAGAGCGAGAGAGACAGAGTGACGGAAGCAGTCCGGGATCAGCGTGCTGGCGTGGCGGGGTGGACGCGGTGGACACGTCGTGCACCACGGTGTGCACCACCTTGGCCCGGGGGGCGGCTTCTCCCTCCTCTCTGGAACCTCCGCGACCTCCACGACCTCCGGGACCTCCACGGCCTCCGGGACCTCCACGACCTCCGGGACCTCCACGGCCTCCGGGACCTCCACGACCTCCGGGACCTCCACGGCCTCCGGGACCTCCACGACCTCCGGGACCTCCACGGCCTCCGGGACCTCCACGGCCTCCGGGACCTCCACGACCTCCGGGACCTCGACGACCTCCGGGACCTCCACGACCTCCGGGACCTCCACGACCTCCGGGACCTCCACGGCCTCCGGGACCTCCACGGCCTCCGGGACCTCCACGACCTCCGGGACCTCCACGACCTCCGGGACCTCCACGACCTCCGGGACCTCCACGACCTCCACGACCTCCGGGACCTCCACGACCTCCACGACCTCCGGGACCTCCGCGACCTCCACGACCTCCGCGACCTCCACGACCTCCGGGACCTCCTCGACCTCCGGGACCTCCGCGACCTCCACGACCTCCGCGACCTCCACGACCTCTGGGACCTCCACGACCTCCGGGACCTCCGGGACCTCCGGGACCTTCACGACCTCCGGGGCCTCCACGACCTCCGGCGCGGTCCCGGCTATGCGACGACGCGGCGTCGACGCGTACCCCGGTGGCCCAGTTCCGGCGTGCTCCACCCAGTTCGTGCCGCGCAGCCGAACAAAGCCATCATTTTCACGTCGGCTTTTCCAAAAAGGCAGTCAGTCCTGCGCGCTCGCGACTCGCTCGCTCCGCGCGCTGCCGCTGCAGGCAGCCTTGTCCGGAGGAAGATGAAGAAATTGCCCCGGTCCTCCTTCCGCGAACGGCCGAACCAACGGCCCAGCGAACGGCTTGACCAGAGCATTAAACTCGTTCTTGTTTTGGCGGGCAGTGCGTGCGTGTAGGTTAGGGCTTGCCTGCCGTGGCGTGGCGGTGCCGGCTCCCGGGAAGGACGACGCGGACGACGCGCTGCAGCCTCGTGCCGGCGTGCGGCGGCGTGCGGCGGCGTGCCTTGTTTGCTTGTTGCACGACGAGCTAATTTGGCGTCGAGCCGGTCTCTTGACGTGCGGCCTGCGTGTTATCGAACCTCGGGAGGAGCTCCACCCCATCCTTGGGATCCTTGGCGGCGGCGGCGTCGACGGCGTCGGCCTCGGCCACCGTACTCGATCCCAGTGGCGGCTCCGAAAAGCGGGAGGGGGGCCTGCCTCCCCGTCAGGTCTGGCACCGCCCCACAGTGGACCAGAAGACCGGCGCAGGCGGCCGAAAATCTAGACGCATTTTGAGCTCCAGAGCCGCTGAACAGGACTCGAATAGAGCGTGTGACCCCACCGATAGATTCCCCGTTCGGAGATAAATCCATTAGTGGGGTCACACGCTCGATTCGAGTCCTGTATAGCGACTCTGAAGCTCAACATGCGTCTAGAGTTTTGGCCGTCTGCGCCGGTCTTCTGGTCCACTGTGCGCCCTAAGGGAAGCCAAAGGCAACAAGCACGACACTCCACCTGAAAGGACGAAAACGGTGTGACATGTCCGAAAACGCAATTCTAGAGCCGCCCCTCCTCTGTCCTCGCTCGTCGCACATCGTCCACTGCCAGCCAGCCTGGGCCGTGCCCCGGTGGGCCCACTGCCCCCACCGCCCCCTCCTTCCGGCCTTCCGCCTCGACCGACGCGCGCCGCGTTTCCAATTTCGCCGAAGGGAATTGAAACGGGATGATTATGATTTGGCCGACGGATATGTGGAATGTGGAGGCAACCTCCTTCTCGGCCTTTGGCGGCCTCTGGCTTCTGCGGCGACGGAACACAGTGGGCCAGAAGACCGGCGGAGGCGGACAACACTCTAGACGCTCCAGAGTCGCTAAATGGTACTCGAACCGAACGTGCGACCCCACCAATGGATTGCTCTCCGAACGAGGAATCCATTGGTGGGGCCACACGTTTGGTTCGAGTCCCATTTAGCAGCTCTGGAGCTCAAAACGCGTCCAGAGTTTTGTCCGCCTCCGCCGGTCTTCTGGCCCACTGTGCGGAAACGCGATCCGCGGCTCCGGCCAGGAAGTGCCGCCTGTGGTGCCTTTTGGCGGGAGAAGTCGAAAATGGCGCGCGCACTCAATTTTTGCTCCGCCATTATTGCGAGCCAGGTGTGTCATTTCGGCGCGCCTTTCGCCGGGCCGGCCGCCTGTTTGCACTCGGTCAGCACGCGGCGGGGAAACGGCGCTGTCTAAACCGAAACGGCCGAACGGACGCGCCAAGTGCCGCTCGGCCAGTTAGAAACCGCGTTTCGCCACTCACTTTCGGCGCGACGCGCGCGTGCGGCGTGCGTGTTTTATGGCCGCGCGACACCCGCCGACGCCACCGCCACCGCCGCCGCAGTTTCTAGCACCACCACCACCACCGCCGCGCACCCAACTGGACGACGCGCTAAACACCCTGCTCAAGGTGTTCCTGACGATGTTCTGCAGACAGGAAGCCCGTGGCGGTGTCGCACGGGGCGTGGCTGGCTGGCTGCCTGCCTGCCTGGCTGCCCGTCGGGGGCAGCGGGGGGCGGTGGGGGCGGGGCCTCGCCGCGGCCTTGACCGCGCATCGCGCCGCCGGCTCGCTGATTGACTGCCAATGAATGGCTGGACATCATCTCCACTCGGCGTTGTTTTTCCCGTCCGGCCGATTGCTTTATTAATTGCTGCTATTTCTAGCCGGGTGTGCGGAGCGTGAAGCAAAAGCAAAACACGCCGGTGTGGTCCGCAGTGTGACGATGGCCGGCGCCGCCCGGTCTCGCTCGCCTCCAAGTCTCGCCGGCCAGAGGTGGTGGCGGCGGTGCCGTACCCCTCCTGCATGCAGGACCCCTTCCAAGATCACCAGGACGACGACCGGTACCCGGGAACGCGAGCGCGAAGGCCGTGGCGTGGCGTGCTCAAATCAACACTCATTGTCTCCCAGACAGGTGGCATGCAAACCTCTCTGCTCGTGTGTGCGTGTGTGTGTGACTGTGTGTGTGTGTGTGGAACTGTTGAGGTGGAACACGCAGGGAACTCCCTCTCCGGCCCGAAGGCTGCAGTGTGCCCCACTGGCTAGGGACTTCCCTCCTTTTGTTCGTCCTTTGGCGCATCGGATATTTATTCCTCGCTGCCTGAACGCCGAAGCGGCGCTGAACGTGCGTCGAGGCTTGCGTCACTCGCGGTGGAGTGGAGTGGCTCGGCGTTTTGTTTTGTGCGAATATTGTCGCGGCCGAAGGTCTTGTTTTCCTGTGTCGTGCGCGCACTTCCGGCGCTATCCCTGACGGCCTCGACTGTATTCGGGTGCATTCGGGTGCATTCTGGCACACTCTGGCACATTCGGGTACATTCGGGTACATTTGGGTACTGGGTTCATTTGGGTGCGATTGGCTGCATTCGACTGCATTCGGCTGCATTCGATTCGTAGGGGTACTTTGGGAATGAAAAGTACAGGGTAAAAGTACACACCCTTACTGACTTTTTGACTTTGAGCCATCCTTCGACCAGTTGTTTGAACTCAAAATGAAAATCTGCGTGAAATCCCTGTCAATTGTAAACGAATTGTAAGTTACGATACGCACAGTAGATCACAGGAGGCGTGAACTCTTCTTACTCTGTACTTTTCTTCCTCATCTTACCCTTGTTCGGGTCGTATTCGGGTCGTATTCGGGTCGTATTCGAATCCCACTCGAGTCTATTCGGGTCTGTTGGCGCGGCGGTTGGCACAATCGATTCGCTTTACGGCCTCGGCTGGTACTCGCTCGGTACTCGCCGCCGGGTATGACTCGCATGACTTGTGTGACTCACGGCACTGGTAGCGACAATACGCGCTGGCGGCGAACATGGAAACACAAACAAAAACTACAAACGAAGCAGTCCGGCCGCTGCGTTTGCGACCGTTTGCGACCCCACCTGCCAAGTCGAGCCCGAAATTATCATGACACAAATGGGAAAACACCGTGGCACTCGTGGTAGGAAAAGATTCCCGCAGTCCGGAAAATGTAATGATAATGGCATGCGGAAAAAGTACGGACTGGTTTTCCGTATTTCTCCAAACGCATAGCGAGCGGAACCTCATGGCTATTTTACTTATTGTCCATAGCCATGCATGAGTACAATTTAATACACAATTGGGGGAAATTATTTGCGTTGCTTTAAGAATTTATAAAATTGAACCTAATTGACGCACAATTTGTACATGACGTACTCCTGCACAGGCAACAGTTATAATATTTTTTATTTGAAATGCCTAAAACAGTATTTATCAAAAAGTCCTTAAGCACACTCTAAATGTAGGGTGCCCAGTAACTGGGCGCCTTTGTCGCCTGCCCCACTTTTTAGGGCGCCAAATGTCGCCCAGTTTCTGGGCACCTTTGTCGCCTAGTCTTGGGTTGGACAAACCATAAGGAACCTGCCTTCACCCATGGCTCAGCAGCGACTAAGGTGCCATAGGTGCCCAGAATCTGGGCACCTTAGTCGCCCAGGAACTAGACACCTGTGCATGCTCGGCCATGGGAGAAGGCCGGTTACTGCATGATTAGTCCACCCCGAGACTGGGCGACAAAGGTGCCCAGAAACTGGGCGACATTTGGCACCCTAAAAAGTGGGGCGGGCGACAAAGGCGCCCAGTTACTGGGCACCCTACATTTAGAGTGCATTTAGCTGCATTTAGTGAGCACACATCCGTACCTTTACCGTAATTTTTTCTACCAGTGAGTGTAGGTTCCAAAGTTTAAACAGTGCCCCCTCTCTTGTCGCAGATGGCGGGGTAGCGTGTACAAGCTGGTGTGGCGCGAGCTGCTGGTGTTCCTCTGCCTGTACTTCTCCATCAACCTCATCTACCGGCACGCACTCAACGAGACGCAGCAGAGGTGAGAAATGACAATAAAGATAAACGCTTTACGATCCGGCCGACGAGCCGGTATGACGTCATAGTCATAGAGCGGGAGAAAGTGGTGACCGTGACGTGACGTCACAGCACGTGTTTTTGCACGTCACGCACAGCTGGGACTTTTACCTTCTTTGGCCGCGTTTTCCGCCATTGTGAACAAGGGGCCGCGGAGCCGCGTCTGGGACGTTTAACGCGGCACTGTAGGGCGCGGCAGCGCTAGACGTGTCGCTCCTGTTTATTTACACCTTTTTATTTCCCCCCTTCAATGTTTGGAGATGAATTAATTTCAGACATGCAAACTTATTCTTCGACTGCAAAACTTGGAAAGCAGCTTCGTACGTTCTTAGGCATTTTATCTTTCTGCGAATGATTTTTCTCGTTTGAAAGACAATTTTTTTTTGTGAGCCGCATTTTTGTTTAGTACAGTACAATAGTTTGCTCTAATCGGGGCAGACGGCGTGGTGGCGGTGCGGTGCCGCGGCAGTGCTAGGCCAGTGGCCAGTGTAGTGGACGCGCTGCCCGTTCTGGGAACGAAACGGCGCGGCGTAACGGCGCTGTCATGTGTCGCGCTTGAACAGCTTGACGCTGCGCCGCAGACTCATTCCGAGAGTCGTCTGTCTCTCTCGCACCTGCGCGGGACGTCCCGTGAGTGCGAGAGAGAAAGAGCGACGAAAACGACTCCCAGTCTGCAGTGCTGCGCCATGGCCGCGCCGCTCGGGCAGATGATCGTGGCTGTGGCGTGCATTTGGGAGCCGCCGCCGGGCTGTGCCGGAGAGAGAGAGAGAGAGAGAGAGAGAGAGAGAGAGAGAGAGAGAGAGAGAGAGAGAGAGAGAGAGAGAGAGAGCCTCTCCCCGCGGCCTGCCGTTCGTCGAGGATAAATACTAGAAGGATGAATCCGATTCCATCCGACGCCCGGCCACCGCTCCCTAGTGGAGCGGAATCGAATCCGGTTTCTTTTTTAACGGCTCGTTTTTATTTATTTACCGGTTTGAAGAAGCGGGCCGACAAAGCAAGCGGCTGATCGACGCTGTAGTCGAGGGGAGCGGCCGAGCACTGTGTGAAACTAAAGCGCAGTTGTACGCCCCGTTCAAGCGTAGGCCTAGAACTTGCGCTTCAAGGCATTTTGCCCCATATATTCAGGAGTGCAAGAGCTTCGAGAAGGACTTTACGGAGTGTAGGTCCCCCGGAAGGCGTAATGTTAGGCCTTAGTTTTACTAGTGAGGATGACGACGCGTTTGTGACCGGCATGGTGACCGGCATGGTGACAGCGCTGGCCTTGTTGCAGGCAGTTCGAGAGGATTCGGGCGTACTTCGGCTCGCACGGGGAGACCATCCCCATGTCGTTCGTGCTGGGCTTCTACGTGAGTCTGGTGGTGAAGCGCTGGTGGGAGCAGTACCGGCTGCTGCCCTGGCCCGACACGCTGGCGCTCTTCGTCTCGGCCGCCATCCCGGGGGTGGTGAGTACCAGCAAGGTCATTGGCTTTGACTGTTTACCACTGGCAAAACAAAGGCATAAAAAAACGACGCCCTTAAGGGCATACCAGGGCTGTTATGCCCTTTAAGAGTCAACATTCCTTTAAAAGGGCATTAAACTTTTTCCTAGAAGTCCTATACCAGTTCTCGCCTCTTCCAGAGACTTCAACCGATTAGCGCGGCCCCAGGGGCGTAAGTCGCAGATTTTATGCCTTTGTTACCAGTGGAACAGCAAATGAGCGGCTGAGGCCCGCGATGGGTCGGTCGGTGCGATGGGTCGCTTGCTCACTTTGTTACGCCACTGTTGCAGGATGAGCGGGGGCGCCTGATGCGGAGAAACATCGTGCGGTACGCCGTGCTGGCCTACGTCATCACGCTGAACCACGTGAGCGTGCGCGTCAAGAAGAGGTTCCCCGGCTGGCAGCACATGGTGGACGCGGGTAAGGCTGGAAGGGCGGAACAGGGGAGGAAGGGGGGGGGGACGAATAACGCATAGAAGGAACAAAGCAGGGGTTGGAACAAGCTGCTGGGGGAGGAACAAGCTGCTAGTGGGGCGGGGCGGCAACCCGCCGGCAGCGCTGTGTGCGGGGGTGCCTAGCGCTGGACTGCAGGGGCTTCGCGGCGCGTCGGCACTGGCGGGGACGTGGTGGTTCGGCCGCGGCCAGGGCCAGAGGGACGGTGGCGGCGCGGAAACTGCCTGGAAATTGATGCGAAAGGAATCTATCTTTGTTTCTTTCGGCCGGCCAATTAGCTGCTCACTGTAAACACGACGCGGCAGACGACGCGCTAATGGCGGCGGGGCGTCGAGGCGCCCAAGCGGCTGGAACTGATGTGGGAAATGGAAATCCACGCGGCGAGCGCGTGCGCGTCTTTCGGCGCCGTCTCCTTCTCCCTCTCTGGACTCGCGAGTCTTTCTAGTATTTCTCTTCCTCCTCCGTCCCTCTCGCGCAGCTTTTTCTAAAAATATATGTGTTTCCGAATCCGGCAGGCCGCGGCAGGCTGGCGGTGGAATTGCAGCCGCACGTTCGCCGTCGTGGGAAGTAGATAATTGTCCGCAGGACGTGCGCGTGCGGCCTTTGGCGGCCTTTGGCGAGCCAGACGTGGCCGGGCCGGCCGGCCGACCGCCGACTCGGCGTCGATGGCGGACTCGGGGACTGCTGACTGATTCCGCCCGCACTCTCTCTCTCTCTCTCTCTCTCTCTCTCTCTCTCTCTCTCTCTCTCTCTCTCTCTCTCTCTCTCTCTCTCTCCTCTCTCCGCAGACCGCCCCGTGAGTGCGAGGGAGCTGGATGCGGGATGAGCACGGGGTGCCCTTGGGTGGCGCGACTCGCGTGACGCCGTGCTTGGCGTCGCGGGCGTCGCGGCGGCCGCAGAGACGCTCCGATCGACCGTCACGCCGGCGAGCGGCGAGGCAGGCGGCGCCTCATCGACTCGACGGACGCCAAAGCGCGCCAGGGACTCGCGGCGACTCCGAGGCCGTGGAGTGGAGGCGGACGCAGCCGGACGCAGTGCTGGCCAGGCACGTGGCTGGAGCCTCAGATATTATAAACCGAACTGGCGACTAAGCACACACTCACGAGTGCATACTTAGCAAGTACTCACTCACAAGTGTGCGCAGCATGGAGTTTGGGGGACAAGCATGCAGTTGTAAATGGGTACTTTTCTAGTAGTTAAGCACTTGTAAGTGTGCACGAAGTACAGTAGACAGTTCGGTTTGTAGTGTACTCCTCGAAAACTCTGGAACCGGGCGTTGAGGCTACCTCTGGATTGCCCTTCTAACGAGGAATCCAACACATCCTGTGTTGGATTCGAGTCAATTCAAGTCCTCTGAGGACATTTGAGCTCCGTTAACGTCGAGTTGATGGCCACCTAAACTGGTCCTCTCTGGCTCGCTGTGCAGTGTCGCCGCGGGTTTTCCCGCATTTTCCTTCTTTTTCTGGAAAGACGTTTTACGCTCGTTTTTCCTTTCACGCGCCAGTGGGCCCCGCTCGGTTGCCAGGTGGATTTTAATGTGGCGACCCGTCCGCGAGCTTCTTGTGGAGTGGAGGTTTTGGCGGTTCGTTCCCACCGCGCCAAGCGCCAAGCCGAACTAGACCGATCCGGCAGACTGATTCGGAGAGTCCTTTTCGCCGCTCTGTCTCCCTCGCAATCGTGGGGCGTCCCGTACAGGCGCGAGAGAGACAGAGCGACGAAAATGACTCTCAATCTAGCGGCCGTCCACGCGAGGCGACCGCGAAGCGTTCGTGCCGTACTTGAAACCACAACAACGCACACAAAAAGAGGAATAATTTCGGCAGAGGAGTGGCGTTGGTTCTGAACGCGTGGCTCTCCTGCTCGGTTCCGAATCCAAATCCCGGCGCCGGTGGGAACACGACTACGGCGCCGACATTAAACGCTCCGAGTGTGCGCCCGCTGCCCCTGTTCCTGTTTCCGAGCGGGGCAGGGCGGGGCAGGGCGGCTCCCATGCTAGTCGCCCTGCGACGCGCACTCGTGGCGGGGACGGTACTTTTCGGACGCGCTGCACAGATTTGGCAAAGTGAGGATTTGAGAGTGTTAACCTCGGCTACTTATGTATTGTGAATGGTTCTTGAGTTGTTTTCGTCGCTCTGTCTCTCTCGCACTAATGGGGCGTCATGAGACAGAGCAGCGAAATCGACTCTCGGAATCAGTCCACTGAAAGTGCCTCTATCTGCCCGCAGGCTTCATGATGGAGTGCGAGAAGAAGATCTTCGAGCTGATGGACGGCAAGAGCCCCATGTCCAAGTATTGGATGCCGCTGGTGTGGGCCACCAACATCATCAACCGCGCGCGCAAGGAGGGCCTCATCCAGTCGGACCACGTGGTGCAGACCATGCTGCAGGAGCTGTCCGACATCCGACGGCGCCTGGGCTCGCTCATCGGCTACGACACCGTGTGCGTGCCCCTGGTGTACACGCAGGTACGGTACACTGCAGGGCTCTGGGCACAGTCAGTCGCGAGTACCCCGGCGGTACCCCCGCGCGAATTGCAGTGTGTCGGTCAATGATGCCGACTGCAGGCGAAGTACCTTGTGGATGGAGTATCGACGATCGACGGGGTCGTTTTGGTTTGGACTTTTACCGCCTCCGGCTGAGTGCGTCTGATAGCCAACGCGCGGGGTATCGACATGACGGGCGGGGTCGGTCCAGTTGCAGGCGCACCCACCCCCGAGTTTCGCCACGCACAATGGTCCCAGTATTTACGCAAGGCTGCCAAGGCGCTGCCGTTAACGCGGCCGCGCCATCCGATGCATTGCCTGCACTCCCTGCAGACTGATTCCGAGAGTCGCTTTCGTCGCTCTGTATCTCTCGCACTCATGGGGCGTCCCCCATAGGTGCGAATGAGACAGAGCGGCGAAAGCGACTCTCGGAATGAGTCCGCTCGCGTTGCCGCGTTGCCCCACGCGGCGCCGGAAACGGCGTGCCGGCAGGGGCTGCATGCTGTTCCTCTCCGCGCGCATGCAGTCGTTGTTGCAGCCGCGGTGTTGCAGCTCGCGACGCGCTCGGCGAGGCGCGGCTGCGCGCGGCGCGCCAGCAGAAGAGATGCACTTGTCATTGAGTTTATAGCGCGCGGGGCCTCTGTCTCTCTCGCACCCACGCGCGGCCGCGGGGCGCCCCACAGGTGCGAGAGAGACAGGTGCAGGCGCCGCTGCAATTGGCGCCCTCCGCGGATTTACGGCGCGCTTAATGATGTCTGCGCCACTGCAGTCTGTGCACCGGCAGGCAGCAGACTGATGCCGAGAGTCGTTGTCGTCGTTCCGTCTCGCTCGCACTCATGGCGCAGCCGCGAGGGAGACAGAGCGACGAAAACGACTCTCGGAATCGGGCTGCAGTAGTCCACTGCAAGGCGCGCTGCAGTGCGGCAGTGCGGCGGCGTGGCGCAACGCCATCGGGGGCGTGGCCACGGCGTGGCGGTCGTTGGGACCGGCCCTGGCCGCGGCCAGGACGCCGGGTCGGGTCGCAGAGGCAGCGGTCGGTAGCGGAGCCCTGCACTGCAGTACTGGCTGCAGGCCGGCGCGCCGCAACCTTCACGCCCTAAGCCGGCGGGCCGGCAGCCCCGGCCCGTCCCGCGGCATGACGACGCGAGCGGAGCGTGGCGGCGGCACGGCAGCACGGCGGGGTGATGTAACAGGTGGCGTGCCGGCCGCGTCGTTCGAACCCCTTATCGAAACGAGCGCGGACTACACCGTCGGTCGTGCGCCCGCGCCCCGCGTTGAGGTCTTTCTCGTCGCCGCCCGTTGTCGACTATCGCGGCGTCCGCCCGGTGAGGTAGTCCTCACCGCGGCCGCCGTCGAGGCCGCCGTCGAGGCCGCCTTCGAGGCCGCCTTCGAGGCCGCCTTCGAGGCCGCCTTCGAGGCCGCCTTCGAGGCCGCCTTCGAGGCCGCCTGGGTCGAGGCCGCCGTCGAGGCCGCCGTCGAGGCCGCCGTCGAGGCCGCCGTCGAGGCCGCCGTCGAGGCCGCCGTCGAGGCCGCCGTCGAGGCCGCCGTCGAGGCCGCCGTCGAGGCCGCCGTCGAGGCCGCCGTCGAGGCCGCCGTCGAGGCCGCCGTCGAGGCCGCCGTCGAGGCCGCCTCGTCAACTGGCACTCTACATCTCTGTGTTGTTGCAGGTGGTGACGCTGTCCGTGTACACGTACTTCATGGCGCAGCTGATGGGCCGCCAGTTCGTGGAGACGCGCCACCCTGACGGCACCGTCACCGGCGACCCCGACATCTTCTTCCCGCTGTTCACGTCCCTGCAGGTGCGTCTGCCTGCAGTGTCGCGACTCGGCCGCCGAGAATGTCCCTTGAGGCGATCCGCTGCACCGCCGATGCCGCTTGCTGTTCGCTGCGGTCTGACCGGCCGGCTAGCCGAGCGATCCAGAAGAGTCGTTTCGTCGCTCTGTCTCTCTCGCACTCGTGGGGCTCTCCGTAAGGGTGCGAGAGACAAACCGATCTGCTGAATCGCTCGGCAGGCCGGCAGGCCACACCGTATCATGTCCTGTGGCTGTCCTCGCGGTGCCACGCGGCACGCGGCACGCCCCGCAGTGCCCAAGGCGGCACGGCGGCACGGCACGGTGCCAAGACAGCGGAGCCAAGTGGCGTCGCCGTGGAGGGGCTTCTCCTCCTCGCGGCCGAGTCCGAAATCCGACACGTCCTGCGTCCGGCGCCCTTGGCGAATCAACGACACGATTGTATTGTATCGCCTCCTGCGCAGTTCTGCTTCTACATCGGCTGGCTCAAGGTGGCCGAGGTGCTCATCAACCCCTTCGGCGAGGACGACGACGACATCGAGCTCAACTGGCTCATCGACCGGCACATCAAGGTGGGTGCCGCGGAGTGTAGTGTAGCCGCCGCGGCCGCTGACCGCAGGCCGGCCACACACACACACACACTCACACACACGCTTGGCACCGGCAATGCCGGCCGGCCGCGCTCTGCCTGGCCGCAATGCCTTTATGCTACTAACGCTTTCGCTTTCAAACCCAACCGCGAGGCCCCGCGCTGCGCGCCCGCCGCCAGACTGATTCCGAGAGTCGTTGTCGTCGCTCTGTCTCGCTCGCACCAGTACGGGGCTCCCCACGAGTGCGAGAGAGACGGAGCGGCGAGGACGACCCTCGGAATCAGTCTGCCGGCGGCCTCGCCGAGGGAGGGGACGACGGCGACGTCGTCGTCGCGTGTGCAGTGGCGGGGGCCCCCGGCCCGCGGCCCGCCACTGGACAAAGGTCGGGAATCTCGCAAGGCGAAGACGGCAGCGAGAATAGGGAATCGACCCTCGAAATTAATCGAAATTAATCCGGCCGTCTGCAGCGGCTGTCTGAGTGGCCGTTGGCTCCGTCGATGGGGGGATTCTTCAATCATTTCTGGATCAACTTGTTTGCGAGGCGTTGTTGTTGTGCCGGGAGCGCGGTACGGGGAGCGACCGCTCTCCGCGGCACGGCGAGGGGCTTACCCTCGTTTGCCGGCCGGCCGGTCGGCCTCACGGGGAGAATATATACGAGGACACGTTTCGGGTGGAAAATTTGCCATCCCGGCCGGCTGTCTGTGAGGTGAGAGGTAGGGGGGGAGGTCTGTATTGACATGCTCATTAGTCTGGGTCAAGATTGCTTTCCTGTCCGCACTCCGCACTTTCACGCTCTGCACAGCGCACTTCATTGAGGCGAACACGTTCGTCGGGCCGCGCCTTGCCTTGTGTGGGAGAAACTGCGTGAAAAACTTATGCCGAAACGAGCAGATATTGTTTGCCTATTGTCACTGCTTTCTCTAACACGCTTCCACTAACTAATGTCCGCCTCCTGGCAGACCGATTCCGCGAACCGTTTGGTCGCTCCGTCCCTCTCGCACCGGTTCGGGGCGCCCCGTGGGTGCGAGGGAGACGGAGCCACGAGGACGGCGGCGTGTGGACTCGGTCGGCGGGCGGGCGTGACGAGTTGGTTGTGGTGTCACGCGTGCGAGGCGCGCAGCTTTGACGCGGTGCTGCGGCCCGCTGCGGCCCCGCGCGGTGTCGGTGACGCTTTTTGCATGGTGTAGAACATCGAGGTGGCCCGCCGCGGCCTGGGCGAGACGCCGGGCTCCGAGGAGGATTACGAGGACGTGTCGCCGCTGCTGTGCGGGGGGCGGGGGCCGGGGCTGCTGGCGCTGCTGTGGGGCGGCGTCGTGTCCGCGGTCAACGCCGTGCTCGGCCTGTTCGTGCCGCCCCCCGGCACGGCCACCGGCACGGCCGGCACGGAGGAGCAGCGGCCCGCCGGCGAGGAGCACCCCAGCCAGCAGAGGAGGCCCTGGCTGAAAAGCGTGAGTAGCCGCCCGACGACCCGACAGGCAGACCGCCACGGCGCAGCCACGCCCTTTGCGGCCGCGCACCGCCGCAGGAACCCCGCCCCGCCCCGCCCCGCCCCGCCCCGCGCAGTGACGAGTCAGTCCTGGAACAGCTCTAAAAGTCTAGCGACGATGAGTCGATGACAGTGCAAACCCGCTGGTAGGTTTCCTTGCCACTCCAGCGGCGCTCCGTTTTGAATATAGCAAAATTTGACCATGTGGCCCCGGATCGCCCTCTAAGAACACCAACATTTGCAAGCCCAAGTGCCAAATTTGGTCAATTTCCGAGTACGCCGCTGGACTAGAAGGACAAATTTTGGCATGCAAAATGGAGCGCCACTGGAGTGGCAAGCAAACTTATCAAAGGATTTGCAGTGGAGGCACTCCACGTCGTCCCACCCGTTCCTGTATCGCCAATCCATTTCAAAATCCGATGACTAATTTCAATGTCAATGTCGACTGGGGTTGCTGGCGTTCCTGGCGGTTGGTGCGCAGGCCGTAGAAAGGTTATGAAAAATTGGAGGTAACTATGTCCATCCAGATCATTTGCCGTCGAGTCCTCGACGAGTAGAATTGGAACTGAGTGGCGGGGGTTGGGATCTGGCGGGCAGTGGCGAGCGGACGTCGGGCGGCTTACTCTAGATTCTCGCGTTTTGTTCCCGGTTTCTAAATTCTCCTCCATCAAACAACTGAGATTGTTGCAGATGGTTTGGCCCCAGCATGGGGCACGCAACATCGCCACACTCAGGTCGCCCGCTTCCAGCCCTCACACCCCCGCTTACCCCCATCCCCTGCCCACTCTCTGCAGGCTAGCTCCGAGAGTCGCTTTCGTCGCTCTGTCTCTCTCGCACTTTCGGCGCGTTCCCTTTGGGGATGAGAGAGACGGAGCGAAGAAGATGACTCTCGGAATCAGTCTGCTGGAGTACCCATACCGGTGGCGGTGGCAGACTGATTCACTGAGTGCATGCCCGCTTCGCACCACACGATTTGGTGGAGTGGATTGGCTTCATGCGATGGTTGCTCAAGGAGTTAGATTTCGTGGTGCTGGGTCGTTTTACTTCATCCACTCGCTATCATTCCCCGTGACTATTTCTTTTGTTCTTGTTTTACAGGTTGGGTACGTTTCTAGAGTACCACTGACTTTTACTCAATTCAACTTTATTGTTTTTGTTCGTCGAGCGCCGTTTTACACTGTGCCCCCGGTTGCAGGCGGCCTACATGATCGTGGACGAGATGCACGAGGAGCACCCCGAGCTGCTCAAGGACCAGTACTGGGACGAGGTGGTGCCCAAGGACCTGCCCTACACCGTGGCGTCCGAGTGCTACCGCCGCGCCGAGCCCAAGGGCAGCGCCGAGGACTACAAGGTCAAGGACTCGGACGCTCTCTACGCCAACCTAATGCCGCAGCGCAACAAGCTGGGCCCCGAGGACGTATACGCCGACTACGTACGTGCACTGGGGAAATGGGGGCGGAAACCTTATGCCGTCACGGGGCGTCAAAGATTTACTACGTACGCCCTTGGAGTGGCGTTGATCATGCCCTTAGGGGGGGCAACTTGGTATATACGTAGGACTTCAAAGCAAAATTTTAATTATCTTATAATGGCAGGACTGTCATGCCCTCAAGGGCGAGGTACACTATATCACCCAAATTTGGGTGAGGATTATTTTATCACCAAATGGAGGGTTCTTACCAAAATGTGGTCTACCTAAAAGCTAATTACTATGACCAAAATTTGGGTTTGAAAACCCAAATAAGGATCATCCTCACCCAAAATTTGGGTGGTAAAGTATATCTTACCCAAACGTGAAGTCCTACTCATGACTCTTTCGTCCTCTGGGGCGTCGCGTTCCTAGGCGTCTGATGCTAGGACTATTCACTCCTTGAATCTGCTGGCAAACACGCCGTCGTAACCCAGATTAGTTAATTGTTGGCGCTCCTCGGGGCTGTCCTGCCCGGAGTCCACTAGAGTCCACTGGAGTGCCGCCACAGGCCACAGACTTTGCAGCAATACTTGGAAGCGACCCCACTGCATTTTGTCGCATCGGCGATCGGGCCGGCGAAGGCTGGCCGCTAATGCCTCCATAATTGGCCGTTCCACCGCCCCGCCCCGCCGGGCAGTGTCTTTGGCGGCATGTCGCATGCCAAATGAAGGCACTAAAATCCGATACGGCCGAAGCTGGCGGTGAGTGACCCTTCCGGTTTGCGTAAAGCCAAGGGCCAGTAGCTCGGGCGGGGTGAGGCGGGGTGGAGCGTGAGCGTTCAGGTTTTAATTGACGATTACCCGATGGAATGCGGTCGAACGCTTGTGGTCTTCCAGGAGAGCGTGGACACGCCGCTGGTGGAGAGGCGCAAGAACTGGTTCCAGCGGCAGATGCAGCGCATGGGCTCGGTGCGTTCCTCCAGCACCACGTACTCGTCGGCGGGGACGGCCATCGGCAACAGGCCGCGGCACAACTCCGTCTACTCACAGGTGAGGCCTCTGTCCTGAGCCTCCGCCCTCCGCGGCAGGCAGCCTCCCCGCGCCCAGCGCCTCGCGAGGTGCGAGTAGGCCGCCCAGCGGGCGGGGCTGCGTGCGGGGCGCCTACCCGGCGGGCGGCGCACGGCGCGGGTAGGCCGCCCAACGCACACCCCCGCGCGTGGGATGCCGACAACCCAGGCGCAGGCTATAGACTGATCCCGAGAGACATTTTCGTCGCTCTGTTTCTCTTGAACCTATGCGGCACGCTCTGTGAGTGCGAGGAGAGACAGAGCGACGAAAACGACTCGCGGAATCAGTCTCTGCCTCCATCCCAGGCCAGCGGCCGGGCCAGCCCAAGGACCCTCGAACGTAATGCAGATCTCGTTTGTGCAGGGCGAGAACGGCGGCCTGCCCGGCCCCGGGCCCGTGTCGGCGCACAGCATGCAGGGCGCCATGCAGGCCAGCATGCAGGGCCTGGGCCCGCCCGGGCTGACGACGCTACCCGTGCACCAGCAGCAGCAGGAGCGACAGCCCAAGATGTCCATCTACGAGCGGTTCGTCAACAGGCGCTCCAGCCGCGGGCAGAACAAGAGATCAAGTAATGAGACCTTTCATTTGGTTAACAATTATTCCTCAAGATCGTTGGAGAACTATTTACTTACTGTTTTTGTTGCTTTTTACAGACGTGTTGAAGAACCGGCCTCGCATCCCCACCCCCGACGTGACCCGGGACCTCGGCGTGGTGGTTCGGGAGGCGAACGGGTCGGCGCCGTCCACGCCGGGGACGCCGTCGTCCATGATGCAGCAGCCTACCTACCCGACGGACGTGCCCGTGGTCCAGGTGAGCCCGCCACCAAGTTTAACCCAGCACCCTCAAATCACACGACGGAACTTGCAACCAATAACTAATGCTGGTTCTTCAGGTGCTGTTAACGCCCATCCAGGAGGCTGAGGGCGGCCACGGCCACGGCCACAGCGTGGTGGGCGTGGGGGTGAGCACCCCCGGCGGCCACCACCACCTGAACGTGGGCACCAAGGCCCTGGCGCAGGCCGTGCTGTCGCCGGGCCTGGGCCCCGTCACGCTGGCCGCCACGCCGGTCACCTTCACGCAGCCCATCCTGTTCACCGCGTCGCCGGGGCCGCACCGCCCGGTGCGCTCGTCGGCGCCGCCGCGCGCCGCCGTCACCCTCACCGAGCTGAGCAGCCAGTCGGGGTCGGCGTCGGGCTCGGAGGAGGAGGGCGGCGCGGCCACCCCGCGGCCCGCCACGCCCGCCACGCCGACGCCCGCCCCCTCGACCTCCGCGGCCCCCGCGGCCACGACGCCGACCTCCACGCCCGCGGCGTCGCCGCCCCGGAGCGCCTCCAACAGCCTGGCGCCCAGCGCGGCCAGCACGGTGGAGAGGAGGAAGAACGAGAGGAAGACCGGGGCGCCCAGCAAGCGCGGCGAGGTGTACGTCTAGCGGCCCACTCTTGAAGCTGATCCAGTCCACGTAGACTAGGCCCAGCGCTCCGTCCCGCAGTGGTGTTGTCGGGCAAGCATGACGAGGGACGCTTTGGGGAGCTGTCCCGAGGCAACCGTGATCTGATAAGATTAATTTTATTGCTATGACGGTATATTTAAAACATGAATTCCAGTCAGTGTGATGACTTGTGATCATTCTTTTTAATGTAATTGTTTAGAGTAACCAATTTCTTATGAGTACCTTTTGTCTTTCTGCTTGATGGGATGTGACCTTTTTTTTGTGCCAGTTTTGTTGGGTGTGCGTGTGTGAATGTGAGTAGAAGTAGTGGTGTCTTCACAGTGTGGCAGATTTTACAGCTGATAAGATTATTTTTGTAATTTTTTAATAAGCAGACTTTCATGAAAAGGATAACTATTTATGAGAGTATGAGACACTTAGTTTTTATTTGTTTACTAATTATCAATTATTCTTATTTGAAACTTATGTGATCCTTTGTAGATATTGTAGGTAGCAATTGTGAGTTGTTTTTGCCTTTAACGGAGTTAAGTGTACAAAGTTTGAAGTATTGTGCCAATGTTTGCTTCAAGCAAGGTCTTGGGTGACTTTTTGTACTTTATCTCTAAGCTCTAGAAATCAAGCTGATTGTAATCTACTAAAACCAATAGTCTGGCACAAAAGTTTCAGACTATACCTAGGCTAGAAATTAAGTAGGGTTTGACTAAGTCGAAGTATTTTCATGTGCCTTAATGCCTTTTGTTAATTTATACTATTTGTTCTAAACTAGAGTATATGGAATAACACTGCGTTTGTGATCATTATGGGCTGTTTTGAATGAATGATTTGCCATTATGATGTGGTAGTCAAAGGAGGTGTTACTTTTTGTATACGCTTTTACCTACAGTCAGTGTTTTTCAGACCAGATGGTAGCATTTTGTGTCAACTGTGTTAAATGTAGAAGAATGCAATTAAATATAAGTGTATACCTGTCTTTTGTTGTGTGTTTGAATAGTATGTAATATGACAGATCACCGTTGTTATCGATTAAATGTCTTACCAGGACCATGTATTTTTTATTCTCACACGTTCAAGCTATGTATCCACGTGGGAAGCTGATTGGCTATTTCCCCTTGTTAGACAATTTTTAATTATAAGAACATTGTGTAGGCTGTTTCAGTGACTTTTTGAATTAAAAGCTGTGAATGTGCTTCACTCAGTCGTTTTTTTTTCTTGTTTTGCTCCTATCTGACCATTGACTACAAAAGAACTCTGCCTGGAGAGGGAAAAAAAGGGCTTCGGGGAATGTGTCACCATAGCTCTCACCTCACTCACACCTATGCCGACTGGGGAGACCTCTTCCTACCCACCGAAACCAACCGCCGCCGAGGTGACGGCGACACACACGCGATGCAATCTTAGCCGGCATTAGCGGAATTCAGAACCTCGCCGGTTATCCGGGTTGCTGCTTGACCCTGCCCGTGACTCCGTGCACGGCGCGGCACGGCGTGACCAAGGCGCCCGGTGACGTCAAACGGCGGTGATGGCGATGATGCCCCCCGGCTGTCGCTTCGACGCGCCGCCACGCCGGCCCGCCGTCATGACCGTCGTCGTCGTCGAGACCACGCCGCCGCGGCGGGAAGCAAGTGGAGGCCGGCGACGGACACACCGCGTTCAAACGACGTCGTTGGGGGCGTGGCGGGGCGTGTCGTGGCGGGGCGTGGTGGGGTGGGGCAGGGCGAGGCAGGGCGTGGTGGGGTGGGGCAGGGCGTGGCGGGGCGTGGCGAGGCGCGGCCGGCCCGCGATGCACGCCAGTAGCGATCTACAGCCGTCATCAGACTAGCACTTCTTTTGCCGGACGGAAAGTGAACTTCTCCCTTTATTGAAAACGAAAATGCATCGCGGAAAACGCCGGCGTCCAAACATACCCAGTAGACCGAGTTGGCGATATTTGCGGGTGTACGTGACTGCCGTGAGCAAACAGGCCGGTGCCGTTCACCTCGGGGCGTGTCTTTGGGTCTGTTTTGCCGGTCTTTCTCCTCCTTTGTCTGGGTCCTGAGCTGCCTCAGCGGGGACCACGGCTCTCTTCCAAAACAACAACTATCTCCACACTCTCTGAACTCATCGCACAACTCATCAGGTCTGAGCGTGACTGAGAGGACCGTGGCCCTCGTGAACAAATCTTTGCAGGGTTTCAGACGAATCAGAGCAGCCAGAAGCGGCGGCCAGGCACTTCGTGAACAAACCGGGGAACAAACCTTCTTGGTGCAGGGTCCTATGTGGGACTAAGACAACTCAGAGCAGCAGCTGAGAGGACCGTGCATCTCATCAATGAATCTAGGTGCACGGTTCTGGTGATCGCTACCGCAGTCCTGAAAACCTCACAGCATCATCTGCGCGGGAACCCGTCCCCTTGTTTCGGCTGCTGAGCACACATCGTTATTGCTCGATTTGTCCTCGTTCCCGGAACAAGTGCGGCGCTGATTCCGAATCACGCTCTGTCTCTCTCGCACCTATACGGGACGCCCCGTGAGTGCGAGAGAGACAGAGCGACGATCAGCCTGTTGGGCGGGGCGGCGGCGGCGGTCAGCTGGCGGTCTGACGGCATTATCGGCACTCCCTTCCCTTCACCGCCGCGTTCACCGCCCTGCGCAGCAGTCCTTTTATATCGGCTCCTCTTCGCCTTTAATTACCGGCTCCAGCATTCTCCCTGTCTGTCTGTCTGTCTGTCTGTCTGTCTGTCTGTCTGTCTGTCTGTCTGTCTGTCTGTCTGTTCGTCCGTCCGTTCGTCTTGCAGAGGATGGATGCACCGCGCCCCGCCCATCTGAACCCGGAAGGCCCCGGCGCCGCGTCGCCGCGTTCGAGTCCGACGACTGGCCCTGCTTCTCCTCGCCGAGGAGTGAGGAGTCTCCGGAGTCTCAGGACCGCAGAGCGGAGGGCCGGTCGCCGCTCGGGCGTCGCTGATTGGCGGAGAGCGAGAGAAAAACGAGGAGAAGCAGTGGCGGACTCGGCTCGCGATGCAAAAGCTGCAAAAGCTCGTTGTTGACGAGCAGGTCCCTGTGCGGCTGTGCGGCGTGCGCTTGGCGCGCGGAAGATGCTGGATGGCGGCGGCCGGATTTATGGAGAATCGGCGCACCCTTCCGCTTTGTTCGCCATCCGCGATTACTTTCACTGTTTAGTGCGCGGCGAGTCCGTCGAGGAGTCCGCCGTCTAACGTTCCGAGTCAACACGGGAGCCGATCGTTTTTAATGGCTTTTCTGATGTGCGTCACGATCAGCAGGAAGAAAGGATCGTCGTCGCGGCCTCCACACCGCGTTGCGTGCCGCGTCGCATAGGGTGGCCAACCCGGGCCAACCAACCAACCCTATGCGGGGGTGAGGTACCCGCTAGGGTTGCCAACCCAGCCTCGCCGGAATGGTCACAACGATATCGCAATTTCGAACCGCGCGCGTCCAACCCAAGACCAATCGGGCTGGTTGTGTTTACGCTGCCTCGCTCGATAATGACTTTTACGACTGTTGGTAGAAGAACAAGATCATCGTGGTGGGGGAAGGATTGGGGGGAGGGGAGGGGAGGGGGGAGCTTGGGGGTGCAGATTGCTGCGGGCAGGGAGAAGGGAGGAGCGGTGCCTGTGATGGACCACTAGGGACTGGGCGTGCCGGCCAGGGCGGGGTGGGGCGGGGACTAGGAGGGGACTGGCGGGGCGAGGCGGGGCGGGTTCGGCCGAGAGTATAAGAGGAGGGTGCTCCACATTAATGGACAGATCACTTCTAACTTGGAGCGTGGCTGCGTGGATTGTGCCTCATCCACCACTCCACTTGGACATTCGATTCAAGGTGCGTAGCGTTTCGGTGGGTTTTGTGCCCAGTTCGTTGTCAGTTGTTTCACACGACGTCCTCGCATACATTTTCTCGGTGATTTTGTTGCAATGTTTATTCGAAAAGGCTGGTTCTATTGGCACTTTTCAAGTTTCAAGGTTATCCGTTCAATCACTCGATACAGTTTTCGTGGTTATCTCAATCCACATGATTTGACAAGCAATTCTGACAATTTAAAAATCATTTTGACGCAAATTGCTTAGAACTGAGAAGATGGCTCTTTTTCCCTGCGAGGAAAGGAAAATGACCCATCTTCCTTGCACCACGCACCTTAAGATCTAATGTGTGCTTCTTAGTCACACATCTAAAGGAGTGCACTTCTAAAAGCGTTCTCTTATCTAATCCACTGGATCGGCGTTCTTTGACAGGAGTGTGCATGTCCAAAAGCACACCCCTTGAAATTTATACTTCCGCAAGTACATTCCAATAGAGGCGTACTTCTTGAAACTAATACTTATACTAATACTAATATTTATATACTAATACTTATACTAATGTGTACTAAGGACAGGTTGGATTTTGTAGTTTTAGTGTATGCTGTGAGTGATAAAACTGCTCGGCATGCATTGCATACGACATGTACTTATTCGCACGAAGTATCGACAAGGCTATGCCCTCTGTGAATCCCACTCGCAACAGCCCCCTCCCCGCTGCCGCCCGCGAGTCCCAATGGGCCGCATCATGCCGCGCCTCGTCGAACCCATTCGGCTAGTCCTGCCAGTCCTTCCAGTGTGACGCAAGGCGACGCGAGGCGTGGCGAAGGGCGTTGCCGGCGTGCTGCCCCGCGGCCCGCTCTAGGCCCACGGCGCCGGGGGCACTGCGCTTGTTTCGGTGGCCCAGCTGTCGGACTGGACGAGGCGGCCGGCAGCAGACTCATTCCGAGAGTCGTCGCTCTGTCTCCCTCGCACCCGTACGGGACGCCCCGTGAGTGCGAGAGAGACAGTGCGACGAGAAGGACGCTCGGAGTGAGTCTGCGGCAGGGCGATGCACAGGGCGGCCCTGCGCGTCGCGCCTTGCGTCAGACGGGCTTGTCTTCCGCACCACTTTCTTTGACTCCTTCGGCCGGCGCCAAGACCGCCAAGCAGTGCCCAGCAGCGCCTTCATTGGCCAACGCCGAGGCAGCCGAAGCCAGCAGGCACTCATTCCGAGGGTCGAAATCGTCGCTCTGCCTCCCTCGCACTCATGGGGCGTCCCCTGCAGGTGCGAGAGAGACGAGCGACGAAACGACTCTCGGAATCGGTGTCTACTGCCGAAGCGCGGTGAAGCTTTGGCCGAGTCTAGCCCTGGAGGTAATGACGAGCACGAGGCTGGCTTGCCTCTGGCTTGCCACACGCCGGCGGACAATTAAGATTACAAGCGCCGCGCGCGGCGTGATGCGCGTGATGCAAGCGGGCCCGGGTTCGAAACCCACCAAGTCTTCGTGGGGGTTTGATCCTAGAGACGCGATGCTCTCTCTTGGACTCGGAAGGAACAGCACAGTGGGCCAGAAGACACAGGTGGAGGCGGCCCAAAACTCTAGACGCGTTTTCAGCTTCAAAGACGCTTAATAGGACTCGAACTGAACGTGTGACCCCACCGATGAATTCCTCGTTCGGAGAGCAATCCATTGGTGGGGTCACACGTTCGGTTCGAGTCCCATTTAGCGACTCTGGAGCTCAAAACGCGCGCGCCGCCCCCACCAGTCGTCTGGCCCACTGTGGACTACTGCCCGGACGACGACGGCGTCCTGGTCGCCGGAGAAGGCAGTCTCGCAGAACGCGCCGGACTTTGCCTCAATAATGGAAGCCACGTACTTACTGACAAGGGGTGGCGGTAGCGGCTGGACCACTCCGACGTGATTCAATTTGCCGTGTTGTTGTTTTGGGGCGATCTGCGCGTCTCTCGCCTCACGCCGGTGCCGTATGGAGTGGGGCGGTGCCTGGCGGCGGTGAGGCGGATGGCACGTCGTCCTACCACTGTCAAAGTCAAGGACACACACACACACACACACACACACACACACACACACACACACACACACACACACACACACACACACACACACACACACACACACACACACAGTGGTGCAGTGTTGGCCGCTGTCCAGCGGCTGCCCAGTGGATGCGTTCAGCGCGATGACGATATCGCCCAGTCCGGTTGGCGGAGGGAGCCGGCCGCCTAAAAATAGAAACAGCGCCCAACGGTCTGGTTGAGTCACCAGCGAATCTAAATGTAGCGAAATGCAATCGAAATGTCTCTGTTACTTTCTGCAAACTGTCTAAATTTTGACCGAAACGCGGCGAGACGTTTTGTCTCGCCTCTGGACAATCCCGCGCGTCCGTCCCGTCCACTCCACTGCCTTCCATATCAGACTCCGCTCGCGTCATGCGTCGTCGTGAATGGTCGTCATGGCGACGCCGCGCTGCTTGGCACGCGTGCTGCGTGGCGCTGCGTGCTGGCGGGGTGTGGCGGGGCGTGGCGGGGCGGGGCGGGGCGGGGCGGGGCGGGGCGTGCGCGGCATGCGCGTTGACCACGCCGCCGCGCCGGGGAACCCCTAGCAGGCCTTGGCCGTGGACCACGGTCGACCCGCCCCAACCACACTGTAACGCCGCGGCACCGCGCCGCACTGCCGCCAAATTGGAGCTCCGTCCAGCAGTGGCGGATCCAGAGGCAACCTTTTGAGGGGCGGAGCGAAGTAGCACGCATAGGGCTCTTGAGCGCCCCGTTTAGAAGCGAGAGAAAGACGTAGAGACTAAAACGACTCTCGGAATCAGTCCGCGCTGCCCTGCGCTGTCTTCGTCGTCGTCGTTGTCTTCCTGCACGCGGAAGACAAAGACGAACTGGGATGAGTGGCCGCTGCTGCTGCCGCTGGCCGCCTCCTGTCTCCGTGCCACTCCGTGCGCTCGGAGTGTCTTGAGTCTCACCGGCTGGGAAACAGGTTATGCCCGACCCGCCGGCGCAGCGCGCAGCACAGCAGCCGTGCAGAGCACCGCGTTGACAATGGCGAGGGGCATCGCCATCCAAGGGCGGATCCAGAGACGCGTTCAGGGGGGGGGGGCGTAAAAGTTGCCTACTTGCAGAGAGAAAGGGCGACTTGTTGCCTACCTTGTTCTTGTTGCCCACCGTCAGGGGAAGGCACAGTGGGCCAGAAGACCGGTGGAGGCGGCCAAAACTCTAGACACGTTTTGAGCTCCAGAGTCGCTAAATGGGACTCGAAACGAGCGTGTGACCCCACCAACGGATTGCTCTCCGAACGAGGAATCCATAGGTGGGGTCACACGTTCGGTTCGAGTCCTGTTTAGCGACTCTGGAGCTCAAAACGCGTCTAGAGTTTTGTCCGCCTCCACCGGTCTTCTGGCCCACTGTGGGAGGGCGGCGCTCTGAAGCGCGGTTCGTCGCTCTGTCTCCATCGCACTCTTCAGGAGAGCCCCGTGAGTGCGACAGAGACGGAGCGACGAAATGGCCGCGGCGCGCGGACTGGCACTGGCTCTGCACAAGGCGCGGTGCAGCCGGCCCGGCCCGGCGGGCAGCTGATCGCGGGGAAGGCCGTGAAACGCAGCAGCCTGGTCGCAGCACGCCGTCGCTCCGTCTCTCTCGCACCCCTACGGAGCGCCGCACGAGTGCGAGAGAGACGGAGCGACGGCAGCGTTCGGAACCGGAAGCTCCGACAACAGCAGCGGCACGCGCGTGATAGCGGGACATTGGCACTGGCAGGGCTATCGGAACGTCCTTCGACGCGATTCCGAGTTCGACGTGCCTACACTTAAAGTACGGTCCAAAAAACGCGAAACCAACTTACGATGCTCTGACCACCGCCGCTGCCGCCGCGCCACTGTCACTCACGGCGTTATTATCGCCGCCACCTGGCGTCGCCTGCAGACTGATTCCCGGAGTCGTGTTCGCCACCCTTGTCTCTCTCGCACTCATGGGGCGTCCCGTACAGGTGCGAGAGAGACAGAGCGACGACTCTCGGAATCAGTCTGCAGGCGTGGTGCGCTTTGACGTCACAGAATCGCAGCGCAGCCTCACTTCCCCGTCGGTGCGTGTAGCGTTGTTGTCATTTTTTTGCCTCCAAAGACTTTGCTGTTGTTGTTCAAAGCGAGAGAGGGAGAGAACAAGGATGCATCTGCGCGAGGGAGATAAGAGAGAGGTTTGGGGAGGGGTTGGGCCGGCCGGGGGGTAATCTACTCTCTCGGTGATCCTGGAAGCCAGGCGAGCCAGGCTGCAGACTGATTCCGCACGGCTCAGGCGTTCCTTTTGTCTCTCTCTCTCTCTCCCTCTCGCACCAGTTGAGGACGCCGACGACGGAGTGCGAGAGCGACGGAGCGACGAAAACAATTGTTCGGAATCGTCCTGCTGCAGGCAGCCGGCGTCCGGGGAAGGGGCGCGGGGCGGGGCGGGTCGCGATGTGTCGCTCTCTTTATATAAAGAGCGCGTGGCGGCGCACTCACACACTCGCACACACTGTCTCACTGCCTCCCCGTCGTCGGGGACGAAGGGAGCTTCGGCGAGTTTCCGCGCGCCGCGCCACTCCGCGCCACTCGCCCGGCCAGTCACTCCGTCGTCGGCGTGCTTCGCGGCGCTCCGCGTCCACGACTTGCTACAGTGTGCCGCACGCACGGTCCCCGCCCGAGAGCGCCTGCCTGGCCTGCCGGCCGCAGCCGTTGAGGGCGACACCGTGTTCGACCGTGGTCCGAGTGTGTGTGTGTGTGAGTGATTTTCGGCGGCGATTTTTCGACGTCGCTGTCCACCGACACCGGTGGTGAGTCACTGAGGCCAAGGACTTGCAGCTGCACTGGGCTGAGACTCGTTTTCGTCGCTCTGTCTCCCTCGCACTGATTAAGCGCATCGTAAGGGTGCGAGAGAGACGGCGTTGAAAGCATTGCTCGGAATCAACCACCGCGGCGTGGACACGATGGACATGGCGTGGACGGGGATTGGACTTGGACACGGCGTCCCTGGGCCGGCTAGGCTAGGCTAGGCTGCAGTTTCACGGCCAGACTTGGTGTTTTTTTTTCGTAGGATTTGAACCCGTGGACTCGCGAGCGGACGAAAATAGGAAGAGGAGTCGACCCAAAGCCGTCGTAGCTCAGACTCACGATAAAAGGGGAACTGAATCGCCATCAAAGGGAATTAGAAGTTAGTTATCACCGTGTTAACACCCAAGGAGGTTCGGCAGTGTTTTTTATCCGGATGCTCTGCGGCAGTGGCGGATCCAGATTCGGCCTGAGGGAGGCGCAAAAAGGCTCTTTTTGCCTGCTCACAGGGACAAAGTGGGGCTTTTTGCCGTTATTTGTCTAGCTTTCAGGCGGAAATCTAGGGGCCAAGAGGGCCCTTTTTGCCTCCCCGCTGGATCCACACCTGCTCCGTGGCAGGTACGCGGGTCCGGCAGGGCACGCCGTGGCGTGGTGTGGTATACGACTTCGCGCGGCAAGGCCCATGGCAAGGCCCGCCGTGGGCAAGGCTCCTTGCCGCCGCTCTCGTTCGCCCGCCCGCCTCACCCGTTTGACTCCGAACAACGCCGTCCTCCCCGTCTCTCTCGCACTCGCGGGGCGTCCCTAAGGGCGCGACAGAGACGGCGCGAAGGAGGCGCACTTTCCGGAGTCGAACTGCAGAGACGTGTGATTGCCTCGTCGGGCCGGCGCTTTCCTACTAGAGCAGTGGCGGCTCGGTAAACGACCCATAGCGTTCTCAACGAGGTTCCAAACGACGCGCGCGAGGAGCGCGACACCGCATCCTAAACAAGGGCGGATCCAGAGACGGGTTCGGGGGGTGGTCGTGAGAGTGGCCTGCCTCCAGGGGCAAAGTGTGACTTTTCGACCACCGTCGGGGCGCTTCCCTCCTAAATCAGTGCCTGATCGGCCTGGTCCTGAAACGCTGCGCCGCCGGCCACATCAACATCTCAAAGAACTCTGTTTTGTTTCAGATTTTCGCGCGGACCAACATCACCATGGCCTTGTCCGGCTCCGTGTGCGTCCTGGCGGTGCTGGCGGTGGTCCTGGTGGGCCAGACGACGGCCGCCCCCGCCCCCGAGCCCGCGCCGACGCCCAGCCCCATCTGGAGGCTGTTCGGCGGCCTGGGCGGCTACAGCGGCGGCTACAGCGGCGGCTACAACCGCGGCGGCTTCGGCGGCTACGGCCAGCGCGGCTCGCGAGCTTACAACGGGCCGCCGCCAGAAGGGCCCAACGAGTACAAAGCCATCTGCAGGGTCAACAACGCCGACAACTACGCCTTCGGGCCGGGGCACATCCCCGCCGGGCCGGTGTGCCCGTGGTAGTCGGTTCGACCAGTTCGGTTCCACGATGCGTTTTTGAAGGCTGTGACTTTTTATTACTATTATTTTAATTTGATTTTACGCTTGGTGGTGACTGTGATACCGGCGAGGAGTGAGTTGGTGGAGAGCACGAAGTGAATCAGAGGGCGTACACTCTATATGTCTTGCTATGAAATTTGAACTGCGTTACAGTGGATTTGGCGCTAGCATGATACGAATATTTTGAGGGTTTTCACTTTAAGATGCAAAGAAAAACCTTCGTAATAGGGTTAGGTTAGGTACCAAAAAATAAAAAAAAAAAAAAAACCGCTCTGGTCATGCTTGCGCCATTTGCCTCGTACTGTGGGAAAGACACTTTTGGAGTGTACAGTGCGACGAGTTTCCTCGTGAGATTCCCTTCCGGAGGCTCCACACTCTAGCTTGCTTTTTCTCCTGTGATCTTTGTAAACCATGACAGTATGCCGGGAAAAAATCCCGTTATTTAAGAATAAGTTATTGATTTATTGTATAAGTGTGTGCAACGTTGTTGTTGCAAGAACCGAAACAAAGTCTGCGGCGCTTCTCCGTGGCCATTCTGATCTTCTTCCAGTTGAATGATTCCTAGTCAAAATGGTCTGAAGGCGATCCAATAAATTATTTGTTTCTGGAACTCTGACTCCACATTCCAATAATACCCCGAACAAACCACATTTTCGCACCAAAAAATGGAAGGTGTCCAAGGACCATTGGGCGCCGGTCATCTTTTTTCTTGGACCCATCCCCACACAAATCTGAGGTGGCCGACCAATTTTGTCGAAAAAAAAAAAGCTTATACACTTTTGTTTTAAACATGCGCCACAAATTTAAAATGGCACAAATTTGAGTATATTTTGCTAGAGCACTCCCTAATGACTTCCTTACACTACTTCAAGGACCACTATTCAGACCAAAACATTCCTTTTCTAGCTTGAATCATTTGAGCATGCGCCGGGACGGTAGGCAACCGATCGTCACTGGCCTCTTCACCGCACCAGACCAAAGCTCAACGAGCGTCACGCGAAAAGGCATTTTTGTCGGTGTTGTCACACAGCGCCGGAAAAGTAGACCACCCTTTTAGCACGTCGTAGGGAAGACGAACAAAACAAGACGCTCGGGAACCGAACCCTGGTCCTTCAGGCTCCACACATAAGGCCCCGTCGTGAGCTAGTATTTAAAGCGGACAAGTCAATTCTTGTTACGCTCCAGGAGACGTCCAGACATCCTTGTGGATACCCTGCTCGTATCGCTGTCCCATACGAACATACTCCCCGCTCCAAGCGACGCTACGTACCTGCAACGGCCGGAGAGCTCCGGCGATACCCCGCGCCGTGCTTGCGCCGCACAGTGGGCCAGAAGACCGGTGGAGGCGGCCAAAATTCTAGACGCGTCTTCAGCTCCAGAGTCGCTAAACAGGCCTCGAACCGAACGTGTGACCCCACCAATGGATTGCTCTCCGAACGAGGAACCCATTGGCGGGGTCACACGTTCGATTCGAGTCCTATTTAACGACTCTGGAGCTCAAAACGCGTCTAGAATTTTGGCCGCCTCCACCGGTCTTCTGGCCCACTGTGCGCCGTGCTGGACGTGGACGTTGGGTGGCCCGCCTGCCGGGCGCAGCTCACGGCCTGGACGTCCGTTGGGTGGCCTGCGCGCGGCGCAGCGCGGCGGCACGGCAAATGCACACGCCCCTCCAGGACGCTGCCTGCAACAGGGCGACGACAGCACCAAGGACGGATCCAGACGCGGGTTCACGGGGAGTAGGGGTGTCGCAAAAGTTGCCTACCCACAGGGGCACAGTTGTTGTCTTTCAGGTGGCATTCAGGGGGATAACCAGCGAGGCCGCCATCGCCTCCCCCTGGATCCACGATCCACGCCCGCAGACTGATTCCCAGAGTCGTTTCCGTCGCTCTGTCTCTCCCGTACTCATGGGGCGTCTCGTGCAGGCGCGAGAGAGACACCGACGAAAACGACCCTCGGAATCGGTCTGCTGGACAACGAGGCGGCAACGCGAGAACAGACCGCGGTCTGGCTTGCCTAGAGGCTTGCCGCTGTTTGCACGCCGTTGGCACATTGGGGCTCATTTGAGGTTTGGCCCAAGTAGAGCAACCAGGGCAAATTACGCACAGCACACACACTGGTTATGCGTTGGTGTGACGTCACTGGCAGCGCGGTGACCAATCAGAGCGGCGCGCGGCCGTAACGCATGACCGCAGCGGGCATCGCATTCGAGCGCTCGTTCGAGAGCTCGTTCGAGAGGACGGCGCTCTCAGTGAGTCAGCACAGAAGCCTGCCGCGCCGAAATTTGGAATAATGAGCATCGTTGCGTTGTGCAGAGAAGGAGTTTACATCATTAAGCCTGCCTCTGCCTCTCCCTGTTCTTCATCATCAGCGCTGTTAGGCCTCAGCAGACCTCTAGCGTTCTTGGACCTCACCAAACTATCCTCGACCAATAATTGTGTGCGGCTGTCCTCATTTTTGAGAAATTGAAACAGTCATTCCAGGTCACGTCACAGCCCGAATAGAACCTTGCAGGCGGCAAGGTGGGCGGTGCGGATCGTAGATACCTCGCCTTTTCCCAATCTTTTTTCTCACTACTATCAAAGATTTACTCTCGCACGTCGCTTCAAGAAACCAACAAAAAATACTAAGATAAACAAAAACAACTGAAACAAGCTTTGGCTTTTTCTGCTTCCCGCCTGCGAGGTAGGCAGCCGCTGCGGTGCGACGCACGGGTGCGTTGCCGCCGTCCGGTTGCCTACGCTGCCATTACCATTAAGGGCTAGACCACAAGGCGCTCCCGCGCAGTGTGTGCGTTGCTGGCCGCGCTCCACGCTGCGCGCTGTCTGCCTGTCCTCTGTCCGTCCGTCCGTCTGTCTGTCTGTCTGTCTGTCTGTCTGTCTGTCTGTCCGTCTGTCTGTCTGTCTGTCTGTCTGTCTGTCTGTCTGTCCGTCTGTCTGTCTGTCTGTCTGTCTGTCTGTCTGTCTGTCTGTCTGTCTGTCCGTCTGTCTGTCTGTCTGTCTGTCTGTCTGTCTGTCCGTCTGTCTGTCTGTCTGTCTGTCTGTCTGTCTGTCTGTCCGTCTGTCTGTCTGTCTGTCTGTCTGTCTGTCTGTCTGTCTGTCTGTCTGTCCGTCTGTCTGTCTGTCTGTCTGTCTGTCTGTCTGTCTGTCTGTCTGTCTGTCTGTCTGTCCGTCTGTCCGTCCGTCTGTCTGTCTGTCTGTCTGTCTGTCTGTCTGTCTGTCTGTCCGTCCGTCCGGCGAGTCGCCACGGGGCGTGCAGCGCGGCGGCTGCGATAAAGATTGATGTTTTCCTTACAGCGTCTGCAGCTTGCAGTGCAGGTGGTGGGTCTAGGACAACTCGTCCCTGTCGACTCGTTCCCGAGCCAGTACGGTCCCGGGATATCTCGTCCCAACCCCAACTGGGCCCGTCCCAAATCGTCCCAAATTTAAAAAAAAATCAATTTTATTGGCCTTTGTCCTGAACCCTCCTGTTTAGAGGTGCACACTGAAAAGTCAAAGGACGGAATCCATTCCATCCTAGGGGAAAGAAACAAAGTCTCGCCATTCTGTGGCGGAAATCAAAAGTCTCAACGTTTTTTTTTTTTGTTTTTTTTTTGCGACAAACAAAAGTCTGACCATTTTTTGGCGAGAAACAAATGTCTCGCCAAAATATGCAACCCCACTATATTGGATACCGGGAAATATCCCAGTCAATTGGTATTGCCATATTTTGGCGAGACATTTGTTTCTCGCCAAAAATGGTGAGACTTTTTTTTCTCGCCCATAAAATGGTGAGACTTTTGTTTCTCGCGAGACTTTTTTGTCTCACCACGGCCACCTCCTCCTGTAGGTCGTCCAGGATCACTTACAGCGTGGGGTGGTTCTTGCCCACCAGGGCACCCACGCCTCGCATGTGTTGGTGGTCTAGACAAGGTCTAGACTCGGCCCCAACAATGGTGCCGGGGACGAGTTGGTCCGGTCGGGGGACCGAGTTCAAAAAACAGCCGGGAACGAGATAACGTTGGGACCAATAGAGTTGGGAACGAGTTGGTGGGGACGAGCTGTCCTGCTCCCCAGGTGGTGAGGGGACACTCTGCGGAGAACACGCTCAGGGATACCGGACACCCCAACCTAACCTAGTCGATGCAGGCTCAATGCGCCGCGTCGTGGAGGCAGGGCGCCGCACAGTGGGCCAGAAGAACGGTGGAGGTGGATCCACGTTTTGTGCCCCAGAGTCGCTAAATGGGACTAGAAACGAACGTGTGACCCCACGAATAGATTGCTCTCCCAACGAGGAATCCATTGGTGGGGTCACACGTTCGGTTCGAGTCCTTCTAAGCGACTCTGGGGCACGAAACGCGTCTAGAATTTTGGCCGCCTCCACCGGTCTTCTGGCCCACTGTGCGGCGGCAACCCGACGGCGGCAGCGAGAGACCGATATGATAACAACAATATTGTTCCGAGGTTGATTTCCCTCAGTGCAAACGGAGAGGGTAAACAGAGTGGAGCGCTAACGCAGTCAGTTTGCAGCGGGTACATTCTACCTCCGTGGCGCCCTACCTCACCGTCGTCATTCCACGTGCAGGTAGCCCAATCAACTGCGTCATTTGCAATGAGTCTCAACAACGTACTGGTAGACTCAGTACCCGAGTCAGCACAGCACCCACTGCCAGTGCCGCCCGATTCCGATGGATCATTTCGTTGCTCTGTCTCTCTCGCACTCAACGAGCGTCTCGTAGGGGTGCGAGAGAGACAGAGCGACCAAACGACCCTCCTCCTCAATCAAGCGGCTGATGTAGTGATGGACCCATTTCCCGAAATTTGAGGCCAAGGACCCGGCTGGCCGGCTTGCCCTTCGCCCTGCCGGCCTGTGTGCCGACCTGCGCGAGGCCCGCGAGGCCTTTCCCGCACTGGCCGCACTGGCCGCAGGGCCGCGTCAAATTGTTGTATAAATAAAAGAGTTGCACAACGGGCGCCCGTGCCGGGTGGCGCCTGGCCGGTGGCGCCTGGCCGGTGGTGCCGCTCCCGTTCCAGTGAAAGCTCGGCCAAAGAGGCGGCAGTGCGTCAAGGCGTTCGTCCGGGGTGCCGACGACGCATAGCTTATCGCCGACCTTCTAAAACGGTCTCGGACACACGACGCCGACGCCGCTTCCGCCAGACAAAGACAAAAACAAAAACAATCATCAACAATAATGACCGACAGCAGCGCTGCGCCAGTAGGGACACGCAGAGTCTCGCCCTTAGGTTGTCCGTTGTTGTTGTTGTTGTTGTTGTTGTTGTTGTTGTTGTTGTTGTTGTTGTTGTTTACGATTAAATCTCCAAATACTGAGTGCGCCGCTTACGCAAGCCGTGCGCGTCGGCTCGCATTGTTCTGCGATTGAACGTTCGGGGCGTTCGGAACGCATTAAGGCGAGCGTCGTTGTCGACGCTCTGTCTCTCTCGCACCTACAGGGGACGCCCCATGAGTGCGAGAGAGACAGAGCGACGAAAACGACTCTGGGAATCGGTCTGCAGGCGCGGCGGCGGCGGCCTGGGCGCTCGGCTTGCACGGCGGGGTGTCCGCGTCCCCGCGGTCCCCGCAGCACGCCGCCGACGACGGCGACCTTGCAAGGTCATCGTGCATCACGAGGCAACA